TTTAAAGGAGATACAGAAAGAAAAAGACTTATATTACGTTGATAAATTATCTTTCAAGTCACGTGACCACCGCCATACTGGTCAGAAGCTAGACCCAGAGGCGAGGCGACAGTGACGTTAGTACAAACATAGAATGAGGGTAGTCGGCACCGTTTTCGCTTCTCTTCGAATTTAGAAGATTGGCATGTGGTACAGAGTACATTGTCATTGCCTTGTCTTTTATTTCAAGCACAAGCAACGAGCAGATAATGAAATCAGAAGTAGATATAATGAACATTTTTTTTATTACCTAGCTGTTACCATATTAGGTGGGACACCACCCATACTTCGGCTGGGTCTGGAGTGGGCCATACCCCTCCCCTTTTTTTTTTTACTCTCCCCAAACCAGGAACTATATATAAGTTAATATATAACATGATGGTCGTCAAAGTTAAATAAATAATGGTGTACATATTGTGATATTTTGGTTGCTCTCTCTCTCTCTCTCTCTCTCTCTCTCTCTCTCTCTCTCTCTCTCTCTAAATGGAAGACTTCGCATGTGTAACATATAACGGATCCAGTGTGGTTGACTATATGCTTTAGCCATTTCTACTTGTTTGTGCATTTTATTGGAAATATGATGTCACCTTTAGTTCAACTCAATCAGTGCCCAAAAATAATAATACTGAGGATACAAGCAATAAGGCTGTACACCCCTGGACAAAGCATATAGGAAACAGAATATATGTAAGGGTTTTTAACAAATTTTCAGGATATATTTCTTGTGACACCTGACCAAATATTTGCAACTGTTGAAGAAAATTGTTCCAGTGTATCAATATTATAACGTATGTAGCAGTCTGCAGCTAGTGCCATGAAGAATCAAAACAATTTCGGCCAATCACAGATAAATCAAACTGCCTTTATGCAGTTGATTTAAATGTATGTTTTTTTCAGCAACAAAAACTGTGTTAATAAATCCAAGAAAGGATCCCAGGTGTTTTTAGAAAAATCCTTCAAAGCGGGAGAAGCAGTCGTACAATCACCATGAGAAAATCAGTTGAACTGTGGTGTAACCATGTCTGTCAGTGACACTGTATTTGATTACTCAGCTATGACTGACATTAATCTGTCTCCATCAGACAGAACATTTTAACAACATAAATGATGTAAACAGACCATTTACAGACGAAGAAATATATTCTTGTTTAAAACTGTTGAAATACATTCCCTCCCCAGAGGGGAAACAGTATTATTTGTCCACTGCACAAGGCAGGAAATAGCCAAGAGCCTCCTTATTGACTCAATTTGTAAAATACTCTGTGTTGTATTCAAGAAAAGACTGGAGTTGTGGGGTGATAGAAATAACATGTTATCTGTGCAAGCCAGTTTTAGGCCAAATTATTCAACTGTTGACCAGATATTCTGCTTGCAGGGTGATCTATATGTCTGTGTATGTCTAAATGTCTGTGCATATGTCCATATGTTTATGTCTATTTGTGTATGTCTATATGTTTATGTCTATATGTCTTTGTCTATATGCCTATATGTCTATGTCTATATGTTTACGTCAATGTCTATATATCTATGTTTGTATGTTATGTCTATGTCTTTGTCTATATGTCTATGTCTATGTCTATTTGTCTGTGTCTATTAGGCCTGGGACGACTCGGGTACCCGAGTCGGGTGGGTACTGAGTAGGACTAGGGTACCCCCAGGACTTCCCGGACCCGTGGTTAGTCATGTGATATATTGTTTAATGGCAAAAGTAATCTAGAACTCTATGGTTACACTGTAAGTCACAAATGTTCACATTTCTTTCCGACTATGAACACATTCCTTCTGACTATATATGTTTGCATAAAGATATAACTTTAGTTAACTCCAGTGTATGCATGACCAGATCATTTTATACCTGTATCTAAATACATTTTGACAGGAGTATGGTCAAACGTTTCCCAATCGGACATTTTGTACATTTCTGTTGAGACCTACAGTGGGTACCTTGGTAGGGTCAGGTAATAGGGGGGTGGGTACCTGGGTAGGGTCTGTTAATGGGGGTTGGGTACCTGGTTAGGGTCAGGTAATAGGGTGTTGGGTAGGCGGGTAAGGTCAGGTAATAGGGGGGTGGGTACCTGGGTTAGGGTCAGGTAATAGGGGGTGGGTAGCTGGGTAGGGTCAGGTAATAGGGGGTGGATACCTGGGTAGGGTCGGGTAATAGGGGGTTGGGTAGGTGGGTAGGGTTGGGTAATAGGGGGTGGATACCTGGGTAGGGTTGGGTAATAGGGGGTTGGGTAGGTGGGTAGGGTCGGGTAATAGGGGGTGGATACCTGGGTAGGGTCGGGTAATAGGGGGTTGTGTAGGTGGGTAGGGTCGGGTAATAGGGGGTTGGGTAGGTGGGTAGGGTTGGGTAATAGGGGGTGGATACCTGGGTAGGGTCGGGTAATAGGGGGGTGAGTACCCGGGTAGGGTCTAGTAATAGGGGGTTGGGTACCTGGGTAGTAAATTTGGACTCATCCCAGCCCTAATGTCTATGTGTCTATTTGTCTATGTCTATATGTAAATGTCTATATGCCAATGTCTATATACCTATGTCTATAACTATATGTCTATGCCAATGTCTATAACAATATTTATATGTCTATGTCAATGTTTAGATGTCTATGTACATATGTCTATGTCTGTATGTATGTCTATGTTTAAATGTCTGTCTATATGTCTATGTGTCTATTTGTCTGTGTCTAAATGTATGTGTCTATATGTCTGTCTATATGTCAATGTTGATATGTCTATATTCTATGTCTATATGCATGTGTCTAAATGTATATGTCTATATGTCTGTGTCTCTATGCCAAAGTGTATATGTCTATGTATTTATGCATATATAAAGGGGCATTGTACCCTATCCCTGGTTCCCTAACAACAAGACTCTAAAAGGGGCATTGTACCCTATCCCTGGTTCCCTAACAACAAGACTCTAAAAGGGGCATTGTACCCTATCCCTGGTTCCCTAACACCAAGACTCTAAAAGGGGAATTGTACCCTATCCCTGGTTCCCTAACCCCAAGACTCTAAAAGGGGAATTGTACCCTATCCCTGGTTCCCTAACACCAAGACTCTAAAAGGGGAATTGTACCCTATCCCCGGTTCCCTAACCCCAAGACTCTAAAAGGGACATTGTACCCTATCCCTGGATCCCTAACACCAAGACTCTAAAAGGGGAATTGTACCCTATCCCTGGTTCCCTAACCCCAAGACTCTAAAAGGGGCAATGTACCCTATCCCTGGTTCCCTAACCGCAAGACTCTAAAAGGGGCAGTGTACCCAATCCCTGGTTCCCTCACCCCAAGACTCTAAAATGGGAATTGTACCCTATCCCTGGTTCCCTAACCGCAAGACTCTAAAAGGGGCATTGTACCCAATCCCTGGTTCCCTCACCCTAAGACTCTAAAAGGAGCAACGTACCCTATCCCTGGTTCCCTAACCGCAAGACTCTAAAAGGGGCATTGTACCCTATCCCTGGTTCCCTAACACCAAGACTCTAAAAGGGGCATTGTACCCAATCCCTGGTTCCCTAACACCAAGACCCTAAAAGGGGCATTGTGCCCTGCCCTGGTTCCCTCACCCCAAGGCTCTAAAAGGGGCATTGTACCCTATCCCTGGTTCCCTACCCCCAAGACTCTAAAAGGGGCATTGTGCCCTGCCCTGGTTCCCTCACCCCAAGACTCTAAAAGGGGAGCCTACCCAGTCTGGACAGACTTGTTACATCGAGACATATTGTGTGACACAGCACGGCACAGCACGGCACGGCAACAGCACGGCACGACCACAGCACGGCACGCCATGCCACGGCACTGCCACAGCACAACATTGGGAGTTCACAGGCATGGAGCTGTGTCATCAGGCAAGACCTGAAATGAGAATTTGAAACTTAGACCATGTTGCTCTTCTTCAATATATACTGAATAACAGAATAACAGAAGTTTATTGTATTTCAGGGCCAGGCGGGCTCCAGTACAGTTTCCACAAGTTTTTAGAATATGTATACATATTAACACCTGTCAACACATACTGTGCATAATCATTCTTATAAAATGCACACATATCAGTATGGAAAAATGATATCTAACCATTAGGGTTATGACAAAGACCCCTTGACTTTCATGCTTAATTTGAACACTCCAAAGGGCATGTAAAACTGTTCTGGACAATCAGCACCAGACCTCAAAGTTTAAATTTCTACCAAGTAGCCATTAGGCTACAAGCATTTTTTACCAGGTAGCCAGTGGTGAAGTCAAGCCAATATTGTAGGTAGCCAAAAGCATTTGAAATTATCTTTTATCAAATAACTATTATAACATGTACAAGTCATAGCACTAGTCTTGAAATTGTATCTTAGTGGAAATTTTTAGTCAGTAGACAAATTGAAATTTAGGTCGAATTGACGACCATTTTAGTGTCAACTTTGAGGCCTGAGTTTGTGTGTGATTCTTGGGTAATGAAACCCCCCTGGTATATGAGAGGTGACTACACACAGGACGTCATGATCTGATAGACAGGAACTGCACCTCTGGTTATTTTCATAACCAGTGACACTGACAGCACTGCAGCTTTGACAGCTTACTCAGCAGGATAAAGACGACAGATAAAAACTATCCTACAGATAAATATGAAGGTTTCTAGGTGCAAAAAGGTCAGGTAGGTACTACAAACATGTCGCTTGTCCATGCAATGTCCAAGCAATGTTCCAGCAATGTTCCATTAATGTACCATTAATGTCCAAGCAATGGTCAAGTGATATACCAGCAATGTCCTAGCCATGTTCCAGCCATGTCCAAGCGATGTCCCATCAATGTACCAGCAATGTCCCAGCAATGTCCCATCAATGTCTCAGCAATGTTCCATCAATGTCCCAGCGATGTCCCATCAATGTCCAATCCATGTCCCATCGATGTCCCATCGACGTCTCAGCGATGTCCCAGCAATGTCCCAGCCATGTCCCATCCATGTCCCATCCATGTCCCATCCATGTCCCAGCCATGTACCAGCAATGTACCAGCAATGACCCAGCAATGTCTCAGCAATGTCCCAGCAATGTCTCAGCAATGTCCCAGCAATGTCCCAGCCATGTCCCAGCAATGTCCCATCCATGTCCCAGCAATGTCTCAGCCATGTCCCAGCCATGTACCAGCAATGTACCAGCAATGTACCAGCAATGTCCCAGCCATGTCCCAGCAATGTACCATCAATGTCCCATTAATGTCCCATCAGTGTCCAAGCCATGTCCTATCAATGTCCCAGCAATGTCCCAGCAATGTCCCAGCAATGTACCATCAATGTCCCATCAATGTCCCATCAATGTCCAAGCCATGTCCTATCAATGTTCCAGCAATGTCTCAATGTCCTAGCATGGTCCCAACAATCTGACAGTCCGTATACAAGAGTAGTTATCAAGCTATCAAAACAATACCATGGAACTTGGATTCGGAACTTTGAATTTCTGTGTCAGGTTCACACAACTATGAACAGAGTCAAAGTCAAAGTTGTTGCCATGGAAACAGAAAAAGATATAAATTCTAAACACCCATAAGTAGCAAATGGCACCATTTGGCAACCTGGTCTCTGTGTGTGCAGTTTCAAGAAAGAATACCTATTAGTTTTAGAGATATGGTCCGGACAAACACACCACTATGAACTGAGTCAAAGTTAAACTTGCTGCCATGGAAACAGGAAAAATTAATATGTTTTAATTTCCTATAAAATAGCAAAAGGCACCACCTTAGCTCTTGATTAATATATGTACCAAGTTTGGATTAAAAATGTTGAAAAGCTTTATAGTTCTGCTCCAGAAATGACACCAGCCTCCTTTTCAGCTAAGTTTAACTTGTTTCCACAGGAAACTGGGAAAAATCAAATTTTGAAAATTTTCTAAATAGCAAGAGGCACCACTTCAACTAATATGTAATACATGTAGCAGGTTTGGAAGAAAAGTCTTTCACAGTTTTCAAATTGTGCTCTGGAAACGACACTGACCCCGACCCTTTTTGAGACTAAGTCTAAATTGTTTCCATGGAAATCGAGAAAATTAAAAACGCCAAATATCCACAAACAGGAAAAGGCATCACTTCAGGATCTGTTTGATACATCTGGCAAGTTTTGGTGAAAAATATTGGACAGCTTTCAGAAACAAAATTTATCCCACCTTTAGAGACAAAGTCCAAACTGTTTCCATGGAAATCGAGAAAAACTAAAAACTGCCCAAAATCCATAAACATTAAAAGGCACCATTTCAGGATCTGTTTGATATATCTGCCAAGTTTTGTTGTAAAATATTGAATGGTTTTTGAGTTGTGCTCCAGAAAAGAAATGATTACAGATGGACGGACACACACAAGGGCTGACAGATGGACAGACAGACAAGACGTCGACTATATTAACCCCCCATTACATGCCGGGGGGAATAACAAGGCGACCTAATATGTGAGGAATCAAACCAAGGACTTTATTGTGACCAGAGAATGCCACCTTCCCCGCTGACTTACAGGTTTTTGTCACATCTTCAGACGTTTGGTTCCAACAGAATTACACAAACAGTTTACACATGTACAAAATCTTAAATCTCAAACTTTGCAACAAAGAGAGTTCCCTGCAGGTAGATTAAGAGCAAGATGGAAGCTAAATGCACAGTCTGCAACTTTAGCCACTGGCCCCAAGCCCCCGTCAAGTGATGTGCTGTTCAGTCTAGTAGGCTCAGCCTATAAAAGTCCACACGATAACACTAAAATGTACAACACATGATACTTGAGCCAAGAGACAGTATGACAAGACTCAAGTGTTCGATCTAATAAAAGTCCATACCATTACACTAAAATGTACAATAATAATAATAATGACCATTTATATTGCACATATTTCCACACCACTCAGGGGCATGCTCAAAGTGCTATTCTTACGTAGGTAGGTAGGTAGGTAGGTAGGTAGGTAGGTAGCCAGCCTCAGGCACAACTGATTCTCATTAAGTGTAGTAGAACCAGACACAGCACAAACACCCTGAACTCTTTCAACACAAGCCAACCAGAGTTATTTCCCTTGGTACATCAAGTTCCTACAGCCATTGAACGCCTGCACACCAAGTTCCCAGAGACTTGTTGAAGAAAAGTATTCCTGTTTCTTTAAACTGTTCTGGTACATTCATGTTTTGGCAATACCAACAAGCTACCTATCACTGCAATGCCCAGATTGTGTTGTACTTGATAATTCATGAAAAAATGTTTTAATCAGGTGAACAATCAGTGAAAAACAGACAACATAACAAAATAGGAAGCTATAAATAGATTGACTGTAACAGAAAATGTGATAACAGTAATAAATAGTGTCTTCTGATCTTTTGGCAGCAGGAGGAAAGTCATCTTCCTGAGACAAGGGAGTTATCTGACTATAAAAGTCCAGTTTCCACCCTTGCATAACTAGGCTCGAAATTCTGGAGTTACATTGTGGCTGGACTAATGAGTCTTTGCTTAGTCCAATCACAATCGCGTAAGAAACTAGACATCCAGTTCGTAAACAACATGGATTCCATCAGGCAGCTTTCGTTCGACTGCAGGATTTCCAAAGCAGGTGTACCATCAACTGGGCGTAAGACCCATTTTATTACAATATAGGTCTTGATTATTGATCAGATCATCTTGACTATGCACCACCATATTGTTTGAAGCAAATGGAAGTGATATGAGAGGGAGGTGGTCAGTTGGATGGACATAGAAGGGCCATAACACGTGATTGCCACTGGTGGCGCTAGGATCGAGCCATGAAATTCCAACGTAATTCAGTAAGGGTGGAAACAGGACTTTTATAGTCCCTTGCCTTGCTTTGGGAAGATGGAGGAAAGTAGCTGACCCAGGCGTTGCACAGGTGAGAACTGGTGGTGTGGAAATGCTTCACCTGAAACAATAAATAAAATATTTGTCAAATAATACAGGTTTGATTTCGGAAACATGACTGCTATTTAACCTTGTTGTGTTATATTTTTCAGTGGAACAACAGAACAGGTGTGTAATGGCTGCTGCTGCTGCCTACTTGAGGTATACTCGTTAGGCCAGGTAAACTGGTTAGCCAAGGTAAGTAAATGTGAGAAATAACACAAAAGGTTGAAACAAATTAGAATGTTATCATGTAGCATACAAAGACAATAGGATTTAATTATATTTACATCACTAGACAGCATAGGTTACTGAAGGAGCTTGATTTGCAGGTGCAATGAAAGTGGATTATCTCCCTTGGATGTGGCAGTGTTCTTCATCTGAAAATATAACAAAGGATTTTAACAGTTTTTTTGTTGAATAGTTGAAATATGAATGCCTTTGAGTTATATGAATGTAATATTTGAACCTAGAATAATAAAAGTTCATATTTTGCAGCAGCAACACCCCAAAAATATCATCTCGTTAACTTTGGTTAGCGAGACAAGTGAAAAAAAGAGAGGACAAAATACAAAAGGCTGAAATAATTCACTTTACTATCCAATATCATACACATACAGCGAACTAATATGTTTTCAAACACCAGATGGCACAGGTGACAGCAGGAGGTGGACTGACAGGTGTTGAATGAGTGGATTATCTCCCTTTGATTATTCTTCACCTAACATGAAAATTAAACAAAAATTAATAACACTTTGATGACTTATTTGGTTCTATTGGTTTTGTATTTGAGATCAGGTTGAGTAGAACTATATTAAAATACATGCCACCCCTGATAGAAGGGGGGATTGTTTGGATTGTTTGTTAGTTTGTTGATGCTACAAACAGCAATATTCCAGCTATATGACAGTGATCTGTAAATAATCAAGTCGGGACCACACAATCCAGTGATCGACATCAAGAGCATTGATTTAAGCACTTGGAATACAATGATATGCATCAACCAACACACATACATATATTTATCTTGTTTGTTTGTTGTTGAACACTGCACTCAGCTCTATGACATCAAGAGCATCGTCGTCGAAAAGTTTGCGTATTTCCCGTTCATCCTCAGGATTTAGTTCAAGCATATCAAAACCGCGAACATCTTCAATAAAATCATTGTCTGACATCTCATCGCTATCTGAATCATGACTCGCAGTCACAACACCCGCGTGTTCAAAGTCAAATCGCAACGCAAAGTTTACTTTCCGAAAATTCAGCTATCTAAAGAAACTTTCAAAATAAACACCCCATAATACACCAACTCTTGTTTCCTGTAGTCACATGACTTGTTAACGCGAGTATAGGATGTATACTTATTCGTAGTTTACTTGTATACACGTTGGCTGGTAGGCCGGCCTATGGTGTCTGGAGAGTCATGACATCTTGGCTGGTCTACTGGCCAACAGTTAAGACACCCTGTAATCTAAATCTACTCATGCTGTGATGTATCTGACCACTAAACAACAGAACCGCCTCCGTGGTCTGGTGGATGGGCGTCTGCCCGAAGGGCGAAACTATATGACTTTAACTATAAACACCACAAACCACCCTTAAGACACCCTGTAATCTAAATCTACTCATGCTATGATGTATCTGACCACTAAACAACAGAACCGCCTCCGTGGTCTGGTGGATGGGCGTCTGCCCGAAGGGCGAAACTATATGACTTTAACTATAAACACCACAAACCACCCTTAAGACACCCTGTAATCTAAATCTACTCATGCTATGATGTATCTGACCACTAAACAACAGAACCGCCTCCGTGGGCTGGTGGATAGAGCGTCTGTCCGAAGGGCAAAAGGCTGGGAGTTTGATATGAAACATGTCATACCAAGGACATTAAAGAATGGTACTTGTTGTTACCCTGCCTGGTGCTAGGCAATAAGGGGCTAAAACAAGGACTGGTCCTCTTGGAGTTAGTATACTGTGTCTGAGTTGCGTATTCATGTTAAAGTGTGAAATGGTATCTCAGTGGGATACCACAATAAAATTGGCATAAGTTCAGACTAGTACAAGCAGCCACACACAAACATCCATGCATGTTTCTATATAAGTGCAATAATCTTGAACATGATGTTAAACCCCACTTTCACCTCACATCACTAAAAAGCAGTCTATTTGACCACGTGATCCATGTCCAGAGAATGACTTTAACCAGAAACACCATAAACCACCCTTAAGACAACCTGTAATTATATCAACCCATGAATGAGTGAGTAAAATTTAACGTCACATCGGCAGTATTTCAGCCATATCGTGACGAAACATTTATAATAATTACATCGAGATTGTATAAAAAGCTGTCAACGATGAACAGTATAATAACTAGAGTATCACAGTTTCCATTTTAAAACTAGTTTAGAATATTCAAAAGAATACATCATTATTCAACAATACAATATAAAAATGGGCTATAAATAACCAGCAACCAAAGTTAGGCCATATCTACCCATGATATGTTGTGTCTGATCACAGAACATGAGTGAGTGAGTGAGTGAGTGAGTGAGTGAGTGAGTGAGTGAGTGAGTGAGCGAGCGAGCATGTGAGTGAGTGAGTGAGTGAGCGTGAGTGGGTGAGTGAGAGTGCGTGTTGGTGAGCGAGTGAGCGAGCGAGTGAGTGAGCGAGGGAGTGAGCATGTGAGTGGGTGAGTGAGAGTATGAGCGTGTGAGTGAGTGAGTGAGCGTGAGTGAGCATGTGAGTGAGCGTGTGAGTGTGAGTGAGCGCGTGAGTGAGCGAGTGATGAAGCTCTGATACTCCCTGATTTATCTCCTAGATATTATCAGGATGCCTGAACCTGAAGCTACATCCAACACCCTGAAGACACCCTGTAATCTAAATCTACAATTGCTATTATGTATCTGGTCAGTATACAGTCCATTTGACCCCTTGACCCATCTGAAGAGGAGGACTTTAACCAGAAACAACACAAAACACCCCTAAGACACCCTGTAATCTAAATCTACCCATGCTATGATGTATCTGGTCAGTATACAGTCCATTTGACTCCTTGACCAATCTCAAGAGGAGGACTTTAACCAGAAACAACACAAAACACCCCTAAGACACCCTGTAATCTAAATCTACCCATGCTATGATGTATCTGATCAGTATACAGTCTATTTGACCACTTGACCAATCTCAAGAGGAGGACTTTTACCAGAAACAACACAAAACACCCTGAAGACACCCTGTAATCTAAATCTACCCATGCTATGATGTATCTGGTCAGAATACATACTCTATTTGACCACTTGACCAATCTCAAGAGGAGGACTTTAACCAGAAACAATACAAACCACCCTTAAGACACCCTGTAATCTAAATCTACCCATGCTATGATGTATCTGGTCAGTATACATAGTCTATTTGACCCCTTGACCCATCTCAAGAGGAGGATTTTAACCAGAAACAACACAAAACACCCCTAAGACACCCTGTAATCTAAATCTACCCATGCTATGATGTATCTGGTCAGTATACATAGTCTATTTGACCCCTTGACCCATCTCAAGAGGAGGATTTTAACCAGAAACAACACAAAACACCCCTAAGACACCCTGTAATCTAAATCTACCCATGCTATGATGTATCTGGTCAGTATACATAGTCTATTTGACCCCTTGACCCATCTCAAGAGGAGGATTTTAACCAGAAACAACACAAAACACCCCTAAGACACCCTGTAATCTAAATCTACCCATGCTATGATGTATCTGGTCAGTATACATAGTCTATTTGACCCCTTGACCCATCTCAAGAGGAGGATTTTAACCAGAAACAACACAAAACACCCCTAAGACACCCTGTAATCTAAATCTACCCATGCTATGATGTATCTGGTCAATACATAGCCTATTTGACCACTTGACCTCTTGGATCGATGCTCATGATATCAATCACTAAATCGTATTGTCCAAACTCCCGTATCTAGAGATTGTCCACACACAGCCTGACATTGCTGAGTGTGGGATAACAAGAAACATACATCTGTATAACAACCCTAAGTGTGGTCCTATGTTAGGGGTGGCACGATATATCAAAATAGTGATATATATCTTTTGGCAAGCACTTAAAGTCAATAAATCAATTGTTAAATCAGTTTCCAATCAATAGTATTTACCAGTAACATAAGAGTGTAAAATTTCATTTCTCTGACTTTAATAATTTTTGAGAAAATTTGTTCCCTTAGAGAACTGGACAGACAGATGGAAGGAAGAAAGGAAGGACAGACGGATGGACGGACTAACTCCCCATATGTCCTCCACCCCACTTTGTGGCGGGGATAATAACCTTGATACACATTTTGTAAATTCTTTGGAACTTGAAAATTTAAGTAAGGTGAAATTTTCTTTCAGCTGTGGTGACATATATGTCAAACCTGTAATACCTAGGAATCGCAGATTTTGAAGATTTTATTGAATTAGGTCCAGCACACCTCATATAGTTTCACAAAACCTGCAAACTTAAATACAAAAAAATACAGGCCACACTCAGACAATCCAGTGATTGATATTAGGACTAACGACCCATGCTGTGTGGGTACGACAGGCCAAACTCAGCAATATTATTTGTCTGTAAATATTCGCATCTGGACCAGGCAATCCAGTGATTGATATTATGAATAGCGACCCACACTGTGTGGGTACGACAGGCCAAACTCAGCAATATTATTTGTCTGTAAATATTCGCATCTGGACCAGGCAATCCGGTGATTGATATTATGAATAGCGACCCACACTGTGTGGGTACGACAGGCCAAACTCAGCAATATTATTTGTCTGTAAATATTCGCATCTGGACCAGGCAATCCAGTGATTGATATTATGAATAGCGACCCACACTGTGTGGGTACGACAGGCCAAACTCAGCAATATTATTTGTCTGTAAATATTCGCATCTGGACCAGGCAATCCAGTGATTGATATTATGAATAGCGACCCACACTGTGTGGGTACGACAAGCCAAATTTAGCAATATTATTTGTCTGTAAATAATCACATCTGGACCAGGCAATCCAGTGATTGATATTATGAGTAGCGACCCACATTGTGTGGGTACGACAAGCCAAATTTAGCAATATTATTTGTCTGTAAATATTCGCATCTGGACCAGGCAATCCAGTCATGGATATAATGAGTAACGACCGATGCTGTGTGGGTATGACAGGCTGTCAACCTGGCCACTGAGTTGATCTACCCTTGTTGATGGGATCAGTTGTAACCCTGAATCCCTCAGGGTGTCAGGATATAACACAGCAATTCCTGACTGCACGAACTTTCAACATCCTATATGACTAGATTAACACAATCTATTCTTAGTGACATAAGACTCTCAAATAATAAACAAATTTGTCTGTAAAGAAAAGTAAATATTTACACTGGATGGTGTGTACTTGTAAACATATACCGAAAGTTATCTTTTTATAGCTAATTCAAGTTTGTATGGGTGTTGTCGCCACACTATTCCAATATTCCAGCTATAATTATAACGGCATCTGTAAATAATCGAGTCTGGATCAGACAATCCAGTGGTCGACACCATGAGCATCCATACACTTTAAGGAGATTCCAGGACATGCAATCAACCAAGTTACTGAGCCTGACCAGACTGGCTACCGGTAGTTATAACGCTGATAGAAATCAAAATGTAACTATTCATATAGTTTACACACACAAGATCAAAAGACACACACATTTACACATTTGTAATTTGGACAGTTTCAAGATTTTTTCAAGTGAATCGTGTTACACAGGTAATCAATGGCGCATGTCAGGGGTTTATAGCATTGATAATGATATTGACAATGTCAGCCACTGTGGACCATGCCGGATATTTTTACATGCCCCGTGCAGGCATGGCAAGGGGGCAGACTGTGTGAAACTGAAGTGTTGTTTGATATATGATGGCGGTCTGTTAACAATCGAGTCTGCACATGACCATCCAGTGATTGACATCATGAGCATCAATTTAGGCAACTGTGATACAATGACATGCATCAACCAAGTAAGTGAGGCTGACCACCCAGTCCCCTCAGTCCCCTCTTGTGACATGCATGGGTTGCTGAAGGCTTATTCTCTACCCGATCTTCATGGGTCAGAACTGAGGTGACACTGGTGCATGACATTTACATGTCAAACAGACATGACATTCATCTGCCCATACCCAGGCCCATCATGGCCGCTAAGAATGCAGATATTTCCTGGGGATTATTATACTCAGGCCAAACCAATACTAGTCTTTGTTCTCAGGCACCGCCTGCATCATCATAAATTCTGCCACACGTTTCGCTTTCATTTCCATTTTCAAAAAGAAAACCTAAAAGATCTTAATATTTAAAAACAAAGCGATCCAATATAGCACGCAGTTACTTCCCTTTACATGCACACTGCTTTACTGTGGATATCGTGTTATGGTCATGGGGGCAATAGGAGTTTGTCTGCTTCTTTACGTCGGGTGAAGTGTATCTGATGATCAGGGTAGTAATACGACATTGTCATCTTTGAGCTCATGCATGGATATAGCGCTGTGTAGAAGGACTATAATTATTTAACCTGCTCGTTGCAGTATGTAAAAATCCTTAATGTCTTTTCCCTTCTGTAAAATACATCATTTGCCTATTTAATAACCTATCATTAATGATGCACTGTACAAATCCTTCTCCATGTCTGCATGTACAGGACATGGCAGCTCAGCTGTAAGAGTAAACAAAAGAACAAACTTGTCCGTGCAGGCTGGGGGCTCTGATATCCTGTAACGGAATCCAAAGAAACCGAACGGTGATTTAGAGGAATGAATCACAGACTGAAATCATCCAATCTGTTACTCATGGAGCTGAAGAGGTACCCATTATTTCAGTGGGCTTGCTATATAAAACTGGCATAAGTTCAGACTAGAAGTGTGCATGCATGCAATGTACGTGCATGCTCGTGGCAATGTAAGTGAAGTCATCTTGAACACGTTAGCCCCATTTCTCCTCACTTCACTAAACCAGAGGCCCTAGATACAAATGTAGCATAAAGATCTGAACCATTTCCATGTTATGATCCAGGTTTCAAGACGCAAGGCTGGACCCCAAGGCAAATCCTGTTGGCATAAATGTATTATTCTCTTTATAACAAACAAACATATACAATTTATCTGTTTAGTGTAGGGTGGGGATAATATCGGTTTGCAGCCCCGCCATTTGTACAACTGTGAATTCCCATCACCTGAGAATACTTCCAACCAAATATGGTTGATGTCTATCTCTTAGTTCCAGAGAAGAAGTCGCTTTAAGCAATATAGCCAAATTACCACTACTTGGCGCTGCCCCTCAGTCCATTGTTGGGTCAGCCCCACCATTTCTACAATTTTGAATCCCCACCACCTAGGGATGCTTTGAGTCAAACTTCATTAATTTCCAATAAGTGGTTCAGAAGAAGAAGTTGTTTCAAAACATTGTTGACGCAAGGACGACGGACAATGGAAGGATGACAGACGCAATGGTATGGCATAAGCTCATCTTGGTCCTTTGGTCCTGGTGAGCTAAAAACAGTCCATTGGACCACTTTACCCACGTCCAGAGAATAACTTTAACCAGAAACAGCACAAAGCACCCTTTAGACACCCTGTAATCTAAATCTACCCATGCTGTCATGTATCTGCTATTGGGCCAGTTGGGTAGCCTAGTGGTTAAAGCGCTGGATCGTCAGGCCGAAGACCCAGGTTCGTTTCTGGTGTCCCCCGCTGTGATATTTCTGGAAAATTGCTAAAAGCGGCGTAAAACCATACTCACTCACTCAGTATGCTCTGAGAACAGAGTCTATTTGAACACTTCATTCATGTCCAGAGAATAACCTTAGCCAGAAACTGCACAAATCCATCCTTAAGACACCTTGTAATCGACACCTACCCATGTTATGATGTGTCTGGTTACTATACACTGTCTAGTTGGACACTTCATTCATGTCCAGAGAATTACCTTAGCCAGAAACTGCACAAATCCATCCTTAAGACACCTTGTAATCGACACCTACCCATGTTATGATGTGTCTGGTTACTATACACTGTCTATTTGAACACTTCATTCATGTCCAGAGAATTACCTTAGCCAGAAACTGCACAAATCCATCCTTAAGACACCTTGTAATCGACACCTACCCATGTTATGATGTGTCTGGTTACTATACACTGTTTAGTTGGACAGTTGACCATTTCCAGAGAAACAGCACCCTTAAGACACCCTGGGGGTGGGGTGTGGTATGGTGTTGTGTGGTGAGGTGAGGTGGGTGAGGTGGGGCAGGGTGCAGTGGAGTGTGGTGAGGTGGGGCAGGGTGCAGTGGAGTGAGGTGAGGTGAGGTGGGTGTGGTGAGGTGAGGTGAGGTGAGGTGGGGCAGGGTGCAGTGGAGTGTGGTGAGGTGAGGTGGGGCAGGGTGCAGTGGAGTGTGGTGAGGTGTGGTGTGGTGAGGTGAGGTGAGGTGAGGTGGGGCAGGGTGCAGTGGAGTGTGGTGAGGTGAGGTGAGGTGGGGCAGGGTGCAGTGGAGTGAGGTGAGGTGAGGTGAGGTGGGGCAGGGTGCAGTGGAGTGTGGTGAGGTGAGATGAGATGGGGCAGGGTGCAGTGGAGTGTGGTGAGGTGAGGTGGGGTGAGGTGGGGCAGGGTGTAGTGGAGTGAGGTGAGGTGAGGTGTGGTGTGGTGAGGTGAGGTGAGGTGAGGTGAGGTGGGGCAGGGTGCAGTGGAGTGAGGTGTGTTGAGGTGAGGTGAGGTGAGTTGGGGCAGGGTGCAGTGGAGTGTGGTGAGGTGAGGTGAGGTGGGGCAGGGTGCAGTGGAGTGTGGTGAGGTGAGGTGTGGTGTGGTGAGGTGAGGTGAGGTGAGGTGAGGTGGGGCAGAGTAGTGGAGTGAGGTGAGGTGGGTGAGATGAGGTGAGGTGGGGCAGGGTGCAGTGGAGTGGTGAGGTGTGGTGTGGTGAGGTGAGGTGGGTGAGGTGAGGTGAGGTGAGTTGGGGCAGGGTGCAGTGGAGTGAGGTGAGATGAGGTGAGGTGAGTTGGGGCAGGGTGCATTGGAGTGAGGTGAGGTGAGGTGGGTGAGGTGAGGTGAGGTGAGTTGGGGCAGGGAGCAGTGGAGTGAGGTTAGGTGAGGTGAGGTGGGTGAGGTGAGGTGAGGTGAGTTGGGGCAGGGTGCAGTGGAGTGAGGTGAGGTGAGGTAGGCGTGCGTGCGTGCGTGCGTGTGTAAAAGTCCAGACTCATGCCAGTTTTATGTCAGCTCACTGAGATTATGCTGCAATTTAACACGAACACATAATCTATATGGCCACTCAGATCACAAGACCTCAGACCATAATTACTTTCCTTCTCTGCTATCTACAGTGACATGACAGCCCACCATAATTAATATTGGTTATAGGCTGTTCTCCTGTTGCATGCTGACCACCCTGCCACTTGTCACTTAAACCCCAAAATTATCAGCCTGGATCCAACATCTAGCAAACAACAATATTAGTCAGGTTAAACCTGTATTTTTTTTGCCTATTTTTAAATACTTACATGCATGTTTTTATAAAATAATTGAACTAAAGTTTTCAACAAAAATAAAAATTAAAACTATTAAATGTTCATTCAAAAAAAGCCCTATCTTTACTCATTAAACTGATACATTGCACAGGTGGCTGTGGTACAGCCAATCAAGTGCAGCGAGCCACCAGGGGAGACCACTCTCAGCTGACAATCAGCCAATACCCCAAAATTATCAGACTGTGTGCAGAGCTCAATTGCAATTTGGACTGCTGGCACAAGACATGTGTTGATCTTGAAAGTTTCTAATAAAACAATCACGATGAAAGTCAGTGGCAACAGAATCAAGTCACAGTTCAGCTAGGGCCAAGCTGCCTGGAACAAAGGTCTCACCTTTCAATCTGAAGAGTCAGAAAGTGCCTCTCCACCCCAGATATCCAGGACTGTCACCAGGATGAGTGCTGACTTCTCACTGGTCACCAAGTCCAGGTTGGATGGCACTGGGCTGTCCACGCCACACTGTGACTGCATCTCTACCGCTGTGTGGCTGTTGGGTGAAACTGCGGCCAGCAAGCAAGACCTGAAACAAGAGTCAAGCAAAGCTGATATGGAGGGTGTATGACAATGAAAAGGTGGCCGAGGCTAGGAACACAGCTCTGCGATTGCATCATTCAACTTTGACAAGGCTCACCTGCAGATAGCCAGGGAGAGATAATACATGCTTGAAAATGACATTGAAATGTGTCATGTGTGACTTCATAGCACCTGATGTGAAGTTGTACAACGGAATCAAGACAAGCAACCCTGGACAAAACACAGCAACATCTAACATAGGACTTGCCTTGGGTCTACAGTTCAAGACACACCTATTGGAAACACAAGAGCCATATTACTGATGGCAAACATGGACATTCCACCCCCTTGCAGGAGCAGTATGGGTCAGATGGTCAGGTCATTGTAACCAACGGAATGGGTCAGATGGTCAGGTCATTGTAACCAACGGAATGAGTCAGATGGTCAGGTCATTGTAACCAACGGAATGGGTCAGATGGTCAGGTCATTGTAACCAACAGAATGGGTCAGATGGTCAGGTCATTGTACCCAACAGAATGGGTCAGATGGTCAGGTCATTGTAACCAACAGAATGGGTCAGATGGTCAGGTCATTGTAACCAACGGAATGGGTCAGATGGTCAGGTCATTGTAACCAACAGAATGGGTCAGATGGTCAGGTCATTTTAATCAACAGAATGGGTCAAATGGTCAGGTCATTGTAACCAACAGAATGGGTCAGATGGTCAGGTCATTGTAATCAACAGAATGGGTCAAATGGTCAGGTTATTGTAATCAACGGAATGGGTCAGATGGTCAGGTTATTGTAACCAACGGAATGGGTCAGATGGTCAGGTCATTGTAACCAACAGAATGGGTCAAATGGTCAGGTCATTGTATCCAGCAGTTGAAACTGGTTAGTCAGGCCATTGTTCCCACCACTGTGGACCAGGTGGTCAGGTCAAAGTATGCAACAGAGTAGATCCTTGCTCGCAATGTCAATCACTGGATTGTCTGGTCCACACTTTTTACAGGTCATGGTCATAGAGCCAGAACCACAAACTAAACCGAATCATGTGGTTGGTTTGTTGTCAGAGCTCTATGTAAAAGTCAAAGGAACTTTATAGAATGATGATTAACAACTGATGTAAACCAGCACCACAGTTTCTGAGAAGTAAACGTGCTGCGAAATTAAGCATAAAAATCAAAGGGTCCTTGTCATAGCCCGATAAAAAAGTTAAGTGTATTGTTATTTTTTACTGGCATGAACAGCTTTGAGTCCCCTTGTGTTTCTCCATATCACTCACACTGCATCCCTGTAGCTTCTGGGAAGATCTGAAAAAGTTAAAATTTATTTAGGTAAAATATCAATTCATAAAAAAATAAGGTCTTTCTTTACATTTTTTGTCAAAAGTAAATCCAAATGCATAATTACACATCATAGCAAAAGTTCTAGGTCTGTGGTTTCTGAGAAAATGTTTCTGAAAGTACTAGATGTAAGTGTATTTTTTAACATTTTTATGTCTAAATTATTCTACAAGCAGAAATTTAATTGTGGCGGGGTGCTGGTGGACTGCATTACAAGTTACATTTGGCGTCTTGGGATACATCCCAAATTATAAATTATTTAGGATAGGGTCCAGCAGGAACCAATTTATCCATTCTGCTTTACAGCGGATGGTCAGCTTGGCAACAATAGTTGCCCTCGTTCATGGTTTGGCAATGGTACTTGCCTTGCAGCACTAGCTGCATAGCAACATGGGTTGCTTGGCAATGGTAGTTGCAGGGCAACAGGCGCTGCATTGGTAAGCAACATGGGTTGCTTGACAACGGTAGTTGCAGGGCAGCAGGTGCTGTATTGGTAAGCAACATGGGTTGCTTGGCAACGGTTGTTGCAGGGCAGCGGTTGCTGCAGTTGGGGTCGCTTAACAGGGGTTAAGCTCATTTCTGCAGTCCACCAGTACCTCCACATCCGCGACCATTTCATCCAATAATATGTCTTGTCTTAATTTGAAGTTCCGCTATCATGAAACCTGCTATTTCAAAACCAAAGTCAATGGCCACATCAATAAATTTAAATTATCTGAACAAATAACACAGGGGTAATGGCTAACAAAAGCATGCTTATCTTTTGAACTTCAGGCTGACAATATTAGAGCGATCTTCCGAGTTTCAGCTTCCCGGAGTGTTTTTTCTGAGAAAGACAAAACAATCCAATCCGCACTGGAGACACTTACCGTGACTCTATGGATAAAAGAATGCGGTTCATTCACAATTAGCGGTCATAATATATTAACGAACATTGCTCCATTATTTCCTTAGAGGAGAGAGGATTGACACCAGTGAGCATGTCTTGCCTCGGCCGCACCCAGTGCCCGTTGGTGCAGTCGAATGCAAGTCTTGCTAGATCCGTGTCTACAACTTATTCTATACTTTCAAAATATATTTTAAAACTATAAATAGTGAAGATACTACCTTATGTATCCACGGGCTGATAAGGTATCCCATGACATTTCATATTTAGCTTATAAAACAGCAAACACTATCACGTTCACTTCCAAAACTCACTTCCTGGTCGCCATTTTCTTGTTCAAGAAAGTTCAAGGTCGTGTTGGATGGCACTACTGCGCTGGCCGCTGGACACATACGAAAGCTTGGTCCCGTCTCTAAGTTTCGGGCGCAACAATATCGTGGAACTAGTTTTCCTTGCGTTTCAGAAAAAGCTCCATTACTTTGCATGCTACCCTCGGTATTGATACTGTATTGAATGTGTTTGGAAAAATACATCGATGTCAGGAGCTTATTAGAACTGGTTCCAAGAACTCGTTGCACCACACACAGAAGGAAACCAGTCCGGCTGAAACCTCCCAGAGCAAATCTTGATCTAAATCTTTCACAGACGGCCTGAAAATGCTGACAACATGACGTCATTACCTTTGTCCGTGCACGTTCGAAAACTTGGCAGTGACTCAGCTATCAGCGGTATCAAGTCGAATATCAGCTTAGCTTGAAAAACAGGGAACTTTAAAAAATATTTTCAATCAAAAGGCCTCAGATTTGCACTTAAATGCAATCATTATCTGTAAAGGAACAATGGATACAAACTTTAACTTTTATTGTGTAGAGGAAAAGGGTTCTGCATTATGTTCGGAAATTATACCATATGACATAATGTGACTTGTGTTGGCGGGTGTGGGCAGAAATTGAGCAGACAACAGGAGTAAACTGAAAAAAATGTTGACCCTATTCAGATAAAGAAACTTTTAGTTCTTCACAACTGACTTTAAATACTTATGAGGACCTTGATATGAATTAAAGTGCCAAAAGAGTTTTGGTTTGCTGTAAATCTAGATTCTACTGAACTTCTAAGCTGATTACTGTTTTTCTTAGCATAGATTTTCTAAATAATAAATGTTACTGGTATTAACGTTACAGCCAAAGTTTGAAGCATTTGAGACTGGTAAAGATCCGGGGTAGAATAGATCTTCAAGAACTCATGCTTGCCGTAAGAGGTGTTACAGCCCTGTAGGCCAAATAGCTGGTTCTTAATTATCTATCATGTTTAACTGCTGGGTGTCGAGTAATTTTTCTAACGCACATTTTCATAAAATCTGAAAAGTGAGGGTTGTGCGAGAATTCTGACACGTAAGTAAGCAGAAACATTCCGAGAATCTGTGTACTTTGATTTGTTTGTATATTTTTCAAGAAATACCGATGTGGTTGTGCGTGATTTTGCGTCAGTCATGGTGTCACGCAGGACGGAAACTTTGACATTTGTTGAATTTTCCAAATCATTGCAATGTATATATTTTTAATTCCCTACTTCGTGCTACGATTCTCTTCCCATGCAAAGTCTAAAATGGTGCGCTAATAGATGCAACGAATAGACGAATGGATAGCTCAAAATAGGAGAAAATTCTACACTGTGTAACATCTGAATTTTGCTTTGTTTATATTTCTAAGAAGTATAGTTTTCCTCCGAGCAGAGCGTTCGTTTCCAAACCTAATTTATTTTTCTTGATTTCTCCTGGACACTTGGTGTTGGTGACAAGGACAAGGACAAGGACCAAAGCATTCAAGGATGAATGTATAATAGCTGAGTGTGAAACATACGTGATGTTATAGGCGTCTCTTAATTCGACGTAGGTGAAACGGGATTTTGTAAACACTATCCAATATATGTATGGCGGAAAGTTTACGACGGCGTTCGTGTTTGCATATTTTCTAAAACATTCTAACGATTCTTGGGTTATCGGCGACGTTTTGGAATGATCATGGGTGATTTGATAAACGACAGATACCCGTGATCACTAATATGTTCTTTTTGAAATTCATTTCTCTCAGTAATTATCCGAAATTTAAATTTCAGAACATGCTGTAAATAACGCCGTGAATTGTGACTTAGTAATGTTTAAAAATGGCGTGATTTTTCACGTACCTAATTTACAGAGGTAATTGTCAGTAATTCTGCTTTGCCTAAAATGGCAGTGGATGTTATCACAAAACCGGGAATTTCCCATAGAATGAAAACCTGTGAAGTGTAATTGTGTGCGTGATGTGTACTGAATTTTATTCGACTCCAAAGTGAGGTTTGAAGAGGTGGGATATATCAGTTTTAGATACTGTAGTAATCTAGACTTGCTAAATGTCATAGACTTGACCTCACCTGTAAATAATCGAGAGTGGACCAGACAATCCAGTGATTGACACCATGAGCATCAGTCCACGCAAATGGGATACGATAACATGCATCAACCAAGTCACCGAGCCTGACCAACCGATCGCGTTAGCTACCACTAACACAAGCATAGTCGCCTTTTGCATATGGGTTGCTGAAGACGTATTCTACCCCGGACCTTTTCTTCACGGTCCGATCACCTATAAGTCGCCTCTTATGACAAGCATAGTCGCCTCTTAATGCAAGCATGGGTTGCTGAAGGCCATTCTAAGTCGGATGTTCACAGGTCCTCAGACACAATATACGGACTCCGAGCCGACCAGTCCTTGTTTTATCCCATTAATGGCGAGCATGCAGCACACAGGGTAACAATAAGTACTGGTCATCTTTTACCATCTCTTAGTATCAGTATCAGGCCAGGTGATCTAACCACCGACATTCGTCCTCCAGATCAGACGCTCTATTCACTCGACCATGGAGGCGGTCCTGAAAGTGGGAGTGACGTATGATATAATTATGGTGGGGCACAATGTATGATACTCTAAAATCGCCCCATGCATGGTCTGTTGTGTTCAGATTGAATGCTTTTATGACGGACCAAACAATCCAGTGATTGATATCATTGATCTTTCGGAAACGATGGTCGATATGCATCAGCCAAGTCATGGAGCCAGACAGATCCCGTTAGTCGCCTCTTATGACAAGCATAACCTTGAACTGTAGTCAACTTTGAGTGTAACTACAATTGTTTAGAATTGATTCATTTGTTCATTCCTTTGTTTGCCTTTACTGTGATTGGGTAGGTGCAAAGGTACTGGCACTGACATTTTATTGTCCGACCGCCGGTCATCCTTTCTAAAACTGTTCAATATTTTTCAACAACAAAAAAATGGTAGATATATCAAACAGATCCTGAAGTGGTGCCTTTTGCTATTTACAGATTTTTGGCATTTTTATTTTTCTCGATTTCCATGGAAACAATTTGTACTTAGTCTCAAGAGGGGGTGGTGGATTTCGTTTCCGGAGCACAACTCAGAAACCGTCCGATATTTTTTGAACAGCAAAGCGTGGTTGATATATCAAACAGATCCTGAAATAGTGCCTTTTAGTATTTGCAGATTTTTGGCATTTTTATTTTTCCCGATTTCCATGGAAACAATTTGGATTTAGTCTCAAAAGGGAGGGGTAGGTGTCGTTTCCGGAGCACACCATGACAACTGTGAAAGGCTTTTCACCCAAACCTGGTACATGTATTAACTAAGGGCTGACGTGGTGCCTTTTGCTATTTAGAAATTTTCTAAATTTGATTTCCCTCTGTTTCCATTTTTAACAAGTTAGACTGAGCTGAAACAGAGGTAGGTGTTTCCGGAGCAGAACTAAAAACCTAGACTGACATTTTTCATCCAAACTTGGTACATGTATTAATCAATGGCTGAAGTGGTGCCTTTTGCTATGAAGGAATTATTTTTGAAAAATATGTTGCCATGGCAACAAGTTTGACTTTGACTGTTTATAGTGGTGTGTTTGTCCGGACCATGTTTCTAAAACTTACAGGTATTCTTTCATGACACTTTACACACACAAAAACCAGTTTGTCAAATGGTGCCTTTTTCTACATTGAATTGATATTTTATTCTGTTTACACGCAACAAATTTGATCTTGACTTGTTCATATTGGTGAGTACCTGACGTAGAAATACAAAGCTCACAATCTTGTATAGGACAGACAGATTAGATAGATATTCGCTCATCAAGTTGGACTTAAAGTAACAGCCAGATGACTTTTTCTTTCGAATTTGTGGGGGCCTGGGGGATTTGTCACCTTCTGATGACTTGCATCAACATGCTATACATAATATTCCAAGACTGTTTTCAGTTTTAGCTACATACTACAACAGATCGAGTCCGTGCCTTGTCCACAATCATTAATTGCGGTTTTATTAAAGAACATGCTTGAACAAAGTTGCTTTATTCCGAGGCTGCCATTTGTATGTGTAGAGTGAAGGAAATAGTATCTCGGTGCATTCAGTTCTGAAAATTTCACAGGACTACCCAGCTACTGTGTCACTTCATACCCCTGGCAATCAAATTCATGTGTTGCTTGTCAAACGTTCCTATCTCCATGGTTACCATATATCTAACTGGCTGACTGACGCACCTGTCTACAGTCTGTCCAAGTTTTATAACCTGGCTAAGGCCGCATCACCATAGGTTTCCCGTCCGCCGTGAGTCGGAGCGACTGTAGTGCACGCGCTGCACGAAATTCACGTGGTTGAAACTGACACGACACACTGGGAGATGTTAAGGACAGCAGAAACTTTGCAATACACACACGTATAGTCTGAAGATATTAAAGCCAACTATACTCTCGCTTGTCCTCATAATCGCCTTATAAATGATACTCTGGCTAAGAAATTTCTTAAGGCCTTTGAAAAAACTTTCGAATTCACATCTTCTACCATACCACAGCGACGCCTGCACATTCCGTTGGACCATGCTTTCAAATGAATAGATCGGTTTCAGATTTTTCGAAATGCTATTGAAATTAAAATTTATGTACGGCTGAATGAAACATTAAAACTATATTACAGGTAGATTTGATTGAATTAGGTCTAACACACCTTATACAGTTTAACAAAATCTGCAAACTTACACCTTATACAGTTTAACAAATCTGCCAACTTACAGCCTAAATGCAAAGCTATGACACCTGGCCAAAATGCATAAAATTGTAGGCCGTAATCAGCAATATTCCAAATAATCAAATAATCGCATCTGTACCAGACGATCCGGTAACTAATATTACGAGAAACTACCTACGCCGCATGTCATCGGATCCCAATTGCGTGGATCGATGCTCATGATATCAATCACTGGATTGTCTGGTCCAGACTCACAACACACA